CTTGTGTGAATAGCGTACCCTCAAACATTTCTCTGGTGAAAATAGGGACATCCCATTCCGTAATGATAATTTTACTGTTTATACCCCCCACATCTTATACATGTTGGCAGCTACCCACTTCCAACATATATAAAAACATAATAAAACATTAAACTTTTTTTAAAACAAAAACAAAAAACCTTTCCTATACAGGATTGCCTTCAGATGGCTCGAAGGTCAGATAACTCCATACCCTCCAACATTTCTCCAATGAAAATAGGGACATCCTAACGAAAAGTGGGACATTCCAGGATCAAATCAGAAACCGGGATGGCTTCTCTAAATCTGGGATACCTCTGGAAAATAGGGACACTTGGAGGGTCTGGTGAATAGGTTCTTTCACTGATCATGATCTAATTTATCTCAAACTCATCAAAACAAGTGGACGTATATCAGAAACATCTTCACAGATATTTTCTTTTTAAAAATTACTACATTCTTCCATTCATTTTACAAATGCTCAGGGGAACTAGCAATATTTTTAAAACTGCATTACAGTAACACTCAGAAACAGGGCATAACAGAATGATAAAATCCATAGCTGGATTTTAGCTGCATAAGGTAAAGGTAAAGGTACCCCTGCCCATATGGGCCAGTCTTGACAGACTCTGGGGTTGTGCGCCCATCTCACTCAAGAGGCCAAGGGCCAGCGCTGTCCGCAGACACTTCCGGGTCATGTGGCCAGCGTGACAAGCTGCATCTGACGAGCCAGCGCAGCACACGGAATGCCGTTTACCTTCCCGCTATAAAGCGGTCCCTATTTATCTACTTGCACCCGGGGGTGCTTTCGAACTGCTAGGTTGGCAGGCGCTGGGACCGAGCGACAGGAGCGCACCCCGCCGCGGGGATTCGAACCGCTGACCTGACAATCGGCAAGTCCTAGGTGCTGAGGCTTTAACCCACATCGCCACCCAGCTTCATGCTGAAAAGCTTCACCAAATAAGTTGTTTTCATCAGAAGGAAATCTGGTGCAGGGCAGAGAAACCTCCCTGAAGAAGGCACTCCACATTGCCCAATATCTGCTGGAAAATATGGCAGAAGGAATAAGGCCTGCACAAATTTAAATTTCTGAGAAGCCTTGTGGGAGATGGCAGTGGCTTTCAGAATGAGGGTGAGCAGAAACCCCGCTCACATCAGACTGTGAACAGGAGACATTTTCTACAAATGAAAATGACCGCCCAGGTTTTTCCATACCCTTGGTGAAATTGGAGGTGGAGGAAGTTAGGAAGGTGCCTTATGCCCATAGCTGTCAACGTTTCCCTTTTTTAAAGGTAAATTCCCTTATTCCAAATAGGATTCCTCGCAAGGAAAGGGAAAGGTTGACAGCTATGCTTATGCCAAGTCAGACCATTGTTCCCTCTGGCTCAATATTGTCTACACCAGGGGTAGGCAAACTAAGGCCCATGGGCCGGATGCGGCCCAATCGCCTTCTAAATCCGGCCCGCGGACGGTCCGGGAATCAGCGTGTTTTTACATTAGTAGAATGTGTCCTTTTATTTATCTCTGGGTTATTTGTGGGGCATAGGAATTCGTTCATTCCCCCCCCCCCAAAAAAAAAAACAACATAGTCCGGCCCACACATGGTCTGAGGGACGGTGGACCGGCCCACGGCTGAAAAAGGTTGCTGACCCCTGGTCTACACTGACTGGCAGCAGTACTCCAGGACTTCAGGCATGAGTCTCTCATAACCCTACCTGGGGATGCTGAGTATGGAAGCAGAGGCTTTCTGCTTGCAAGCCAGATGTTGTCACTGAGCTATGGCTTGGAGTGGGGCCTGAAATTCTCTTCTAGGAGGGGGTGTTGGGGTGTGGGACTAAGCCTCATTCTCATGGCAGTTTATTCCTTTTCCCCATCATTTCCTTAAGCATTAATTGCCACACAATGTAAAATCCACTTCTGGAAATAAAGAGAAATATAGCACAAGTTTAGTGCTCATTTCCAGTAAAGCAGAAAAGAGTGCTGTACTTGCGCGATATTCTGCTATATTTACAGAAGTGGCTTTTACATCATGCAGAAGCTCAGCTATAATATGGAAATAGCAGTTAGGGAAACATCAAGTAAATGGAATAAACTGCTGTGCGGATGCAGCCATACAGTCCAAAGATAAGCATTTACTCCAAACTAAATACACACACAGGCCTTTCATTAAGTTTCAATAAATTTTAGTAGTTCGGTTAGTTTTACTGGTAACAATTTTAGGGTTAGCATCTTTTTCTTAGCTGACGGTTGCTTCAGGGTAGCTATTTCTGTTGTCCTGCTATGAGATATTTTTCTTTTAGGTGGAAGTTATATAACGGAGAAGGTTGTTTGTTCATGTCACCTGTGAAATGCAATTATGCATTTTAAACATTGCATTTGTGATTTTGTAAGTTCCGTGAGCCACCTGGAGGCTTTGGTGTAGGCGATGCATGAATCAAATTGTTCTCATAATTCATAACAATTAATGGTGATGTTCATCCATCAAGTGAAACAACGGAGGTACAATGTCTGCTTTGTTTCTATACGAACACTGTACTTAAGTGGACTTTTGTTCTCCAGTCTGTAATATCCACAAGCCCTCTGAGCACTCATGTTTCGGCTTTCACCCCATGCAAGCCCTTGCTATTGTAATTCTAATAAGCGTCACAAGCAATTAATCTAATCACTCTACATATTCTCTAGAGGTAAAAGATAATTAAATATTAATCCTTGCTACAGCATCTTATGATTTCTTTTAGTTAATCACTCTTGCGACTGGCTGACCCGAGGGAGTATATCTGTAGAAGAAAATTATTCTTAACACAAGGGAAAATGTGTGTGTGTGCACGTATGTGTGAGCTAGAGACAGACAGACAGATGTACCGTATTTCCCCACTCAAATATTGAATTGGCCACAAGAGGGCTCCCTCGCCTTCTCCATTGAGCTTAGAGTTTTGTTACATTGGTACACAGGGAGACAAGAAAGTGCCTTACATTTCGTACACACCATGCATTTAAAGCGCATTCCCCTCCCCTTCCCAAAAAATCCCAGGATTCTTTGCAGGAGGGAAATGTGCTTTTAAACATATGGTGCGTATACAGCCTTATACACAGGAGTCATTCCATGGGTCTGTAATGGCTAGTAGCAGCTATCCAGGGTTTTCAGGCACTCCACCTAGAGATGCCGGTGTTTGAGTCTGAGACTTGCATGCAAAGCAGGTGCTCTACAACAGGGCTGCAGTCCTTCCAAATGTGCTCTTAAACAGTTATGGGAAACGGGGGGAACAATCTCCCATTGGCTGCATCGTTCCTTGTAAATTAGTGGTTGTACTTTGATTACTCTGTCTACAGTGGTTCTTCTCAAAAGGTGTGGCAGGAGGATTCAAGGACAATCAAAGAAACATTTAAACATATCAGTGTAGTGTAGTATAGTACAGTATGAAAATTAAGAAACTAGAAACAGTATCCACACCTCTCTTCAATAGCACTGGCTATTCTTCTACAGTTCTGTTAACGTTGTGAATGGGGATTTTCAACTCTGACAAATATGAACGATCAGAAAAGATAAAGGCTTCTGTGCATTGATGAGGAGATGGGAGTTTGTCTCAAATTACACCATATATATATATATGATTCTTCGAATTTAAGGCAATTCAGGGTTCTTCAAAGTGAGTTTGGTTCTGCTATCCTGGAAAACGCCATTTATTAACAGGAAACGGTGAGCATCATCCGTGATATACCACTTTGCTCAATTATCCCTTGATGCAATTAACATTCTTGCCAGACTTTGTAAATTATGTGGCCTTCATGTCCTCTGCATGATCCATATATCCTGAACTAAAGAAAAAGAGCAAAGCAGGCACACCTTTCAATGGGGAGGAAATAACAGGACATAATTGATTTGTTGTGTGCGGCTCAAATCGCTGATGAAATTATTCTTAATCAGCTTGTGTTTGAGGGTGATCTTGAACACTGTTCGGTTTAAAGGCTGAATTGTTTGGAAAATAATTCCAGGCGTTCAAATGATTTCAAAATTACATATGGTCAATTGTTTATGGCATTGGGGAGAGCTGTGTGTGTGTGTGTGTGTGTGTGTGTGTGTGTGTGTGTACATAAACACACACACACACACACACACACACACACACACAACACGACACTATTCTTTCATGATGCCACAGCATGGATGACAGAATCATTTGTAACCAGTTGTCGTTTCTGGCTCAGCCATTACTGGCAGAAACCTGCTGAGCGATGATGTAGCTTTCCGAGCTACCTACGTAACTTGATGAAATCATGGACTTTGGGGGATGAAAGTTAGAGAGATGGAGAAAGATTGAAACAGGTTCCAAATAACTTTTCAAAAACAAAATTGCCCCTGTTTTGATTAAGTAAAAACGTATAATTACTACACCATTTGATTCACTCTAGGTCCATGTAATTGCAAGAAGGAAATCCCATTAGTTGTTTTCCTAAAGCAGACAGATTGGGAGACTGAAGGTGGCCTGGGGAAACAACTGAGTTAACAAAACTTAGTTCTCCCAATGCCTTCATCTCCTTCCTGAGTGTTGAATCGCCTCACCAGTTTTTGAAGGATTGCTGATGACTTTGTAGGTTGCACTAGTGGGGACTCCCCACCCCCACAAAGGCTCCTAGCCCTGGGATGGTGGGTCAATCTCCATTCTGATAGCAGTGGGGAAACAATGAACAGAGAGGGGCAGGCTTTATGTTAGGGAGGCAGAACCTCAGTTAAGTGTTTTTATTGATTTACTTGATTTAGATCCTGACTCAGCCATGAAACTCACCTTGGGTCAGGTCACTTATCACTGAGCCTAGCCTAGCTCACAGGGTTGTTGTGGGGATAAATTGGGAGCATTCTCTGAGCTCCTCGGAAGATACGCAGAATGACAAAACACAGTATATGCAAAAATAAATAAGGCATGTTTATGTTACATACAGAATTTCTTAAACAGTTACACCTCAGTCTCTCCTCTCCTCTCCTCTGAAAATATCAATCCACCTCATTTGTAGATAAAGAAGGAAAACAAAATTCCAATCCAACAATTTCAAACAATTTCAGTGGAACAAGAAAAAGAAAATATAAAGAGTGATGTTAAGACTCTGGAGTAGTAAACTGTCTCCATGAACAATTCTTTGTTATTTTCTTAAGGTCCATAACACAGATTGTATCTTCCAAATGTTACATTAATGCTAAAGCATGCGCATTAGAATCGTTTGAGGAAAAAGCACTAACAGCACAGTCTTATGTTTACCTACTTACAAGTTAGTCCCAGCTAAGTGTGCATATTATTGTAGTCTAAATGGATTCATAACACTACCAGCTAATAGAGCATGCTGAGCAATTGGCCTTGACATTCTTGTTGGCTGCTATTTTGTGCAAATGAATGCTAACAATGGAATGGTTTACAGTGGGGACAGGGAACCAGTGGCCCTCCAGATGTTGTTGGATTTCATCTCTCATCAGCCTCAGTCAGTGTGGCCAGTAGTCAAGGAGTGGGGAGGGGGAATCATAATCCAACATAATCTACAGAGCCACAAGTTCCCCATCCCCAGTTAGTAGTCCTGGCTCTTGAAGAGTTGCATTCACACTGGACAAACTTGATTCTCTGCGATGGTCAGCTGGGCGAAAGAATGGCAGCTGCTTTGCTCATCTTCACTTCTCCGGCTGAAGACAGTAAGAGGCGGTGCTGCTGTGGACATCTCTCCGCCATTTTTGCTGTGTGTGAGCACTGCCCTTTCTGAAATCGGGTTCACGTTGGAGTCGGCAATATCTTGGCCACTGCATCGAAACAGTTGGATGAGACACTTCCGGAACTAGGAATGAAATCACAAATAATTATTGTTGTGCGGTGTCCTGGAAAGCCATTGCAGGGGGCTGGGCTAGATGGACCTTTGGGTCCCTTCCAATTCTACAGTTCTTTGTTTCTATGTTGCATGTTCAAAGCGAAGGGTACACATGCCTAAAATGAACCACTAAAACAGGCGTCAGCAAACTTTTTCAGCGGGGGGCCAGTCCACTGTCCCTCAGACCTTGTAGGGGGCTGGACTATATGGGGGGGGGGGAATGAACGAATTCCTATGCCCCACAAATAACCCAGAGATGCATTTTAAATGAAAGCACACATTCTACTCATGTAAAAACACCAGGCAGGCCCCACAAATAACCCAGAGATGCATTTTAAATAAAAGGACACATTCTACTCATGTAAAAGCACACTGATTCCTGGACCATCCGTGGGTCGGATTTAGAAGGAAATTAGGCTGGATCCAGCCCCCGGGCCTTAGTTTGCTTACCCATGCACTAAAACAACATAATGGGCCAAGCCCCATCATCTCCTAAATCAGAGGATTCTCCCAGAAGGGGGAATGGTGGCCAATATTGTGGACAGTCCTCATCCCATGCTTTCTAAAACCCTGCAACTGATTTTAATAGAGTTACTCTGAAGTAAATATATTCTGGAATGCAAGCCAGAATCAATAGCGCATATAACAAGCTGAATAAAACATGTTATAAATCATGGGAGTGAAGCAATAATTTAACACGTAAGTGGACAGAAACAATTTGTTAAAACAGGAATGGAAAAAACAAACCAGAAATGTTCCCCATGGACTCAGAAACAATTTGGTTTAAATACCCAAAGAGGAGGTGTGCAGTACCTGACTGTTCATAAAGGCATAGATAACTGGATTATACACCGTGGCCGTTTTTGAAAAGAATGCTGGAATGGCAGAGAGGCGAGGGTCCAGTTTGATGGAAGGATAGGTGGTGACCAAGATTGAAAAGGCTGCGTAAGGAGACCAGCAAATTAAAAATGCAAGGATCATAATGACAACCATTTTGGTCACCTGTCTTTCAGGTTTCCTTGTAGAGCCCAGTCTGCCTTGAGTATCTGAAACCTTGAAAAGAGAGAGTGGGGGGAGATCTCGTCAAAAGCATGAGCAAAGTAAGGGCTTTCTACCTAGATGACATCTGCAAGCAGGGATACCAGTAGGATTTTTTAGACCCAGTTTATTTGTTTTCAGGGAGGACATATCTAAGCAAACTCCAAGTTTAGAGCATGTGTTTGAAGCCCAAGAGTATTCTGCCTGTGCTCTCCTTGCTGCTGGAGAGTGTGGTAAACTCTGTGTTTTGAATCTAGGCAGGCACACATCTTTTGTTATTCATCCCATACATGTGGGTCATAGAGATTCATATATTTAATTCCCCCACAGAGTTTTCAGGACTCTGAACATGTGTGACTCTCCTAATACGTCTACACTTGCAACTGTGTAGACGCTGTTGTTAAGATGATCAAGCTGAAACGAAGTTCACTGTTTGCAAAAGTGAGTGGCATGACATGAGATATTGCAGTACCACCACTCTTGGCACGATGGAAATGCCATCACCAGATCTGCACTACTCATAAACATCCTCCTGAACAGCACAAAGTGGGTCAGCCGCATAGGTGACGTCGTTCAGATTTCTGCTGCTCAGCTGAGCATCTAGACATATTCAACCTGCTCCTGGCCTAGGAATCTGCACTAATCAAATCGCAGCCTAAGATGTGCACAATATACATGACTAAGATCTCAAAGTTTGGAAATTTGATCCATACAAAATCTACGGTAATCCTTTGACACAAAAGCCCACCGGTGCCAAAGCACTCCTTCAGAGGGATTCGTATCTCTTGCAAATGTTCTCACCTACCTTTCTAAGTTTCCGCATCAGTTTTCCATAGGATATCAAAATCACCAATAAGGGCAGGATGAAACAGGTGGTGAAGAATGTAATGATGAAAGTACGGTTGTTGTAGTCTCCAGAATACCTATAAAAACCACACGAGGTTTTTAGGTTCTGCCACATTAGGGCTGATCAAACAAATGCCACATCCCCGAGTTGCCTTACCAGTTGGGTTCACACGTAGTTCCAATCTTGCTGGTAGTGTAGCTGCTCCAGCCCATTGTAGGAGGGATGGTCCAGATGAAGGAGAAAACCCACACAAAGGCTACTCCCAGAGCTGCATGCTTCCCCCTGAGGCGCATGTTTCCCATGGGACGGCAAATCACAACGTAGCGCTCAAACGCAAGCAGAGCAAGGGACCAGAGGGCGACTATTCCTGCAACGAGAATGAGCTAAATTAGGGGGAAGAAGAAGTTGGTGTAACATATTGCAAGGATGGGGAACCTGTGGCTCTCCAAGCCCCAGCATCCTTGACCACTGGCCATGCTGGTGAGAGTTGGGAGTCCAACAACATTTAGAAAGCTACAGATTTCCCACTGGGTGGAGTGCTGGACTTTGACCAGGGAGATCTGAGCTCAAATCCCCAATCAAATGGACATGTGAAGCTGCCTTGTACCAAGTCAGACCAGGAAGCAGTTCTCTAGGGGTTTTCTCTCTGCTTTCTAGAGAGACAAGGGACCATCTGCAGGTTGTTCCCTTAGGACAAATGAGGCACTGCTCCCACCACCTCAGTCTGCCATCAGCTACTCCCCACCTGCCTGCTTTCTTCAGTCCAGGGAGCGGCCAAACATTGTTTAGAATGACTTCTTCTGGGGCTATAAAAACAAAGGCAATGCATCTGATCTGAACTGGAGGCAGAGCGCTCAGAGAAATGGGGTGCTTAGAATTCTGCATTCATGGAACTTTCCAGGATTAGAAGCAATTTGGCACAGTTCAGCCCATTTAAAATGCCATTAATTCTAAAGGGGGGAGTTGTCTGTGTTTTATGATGCTGGTGAAATAAAGGGAACAAGAAGGAACTTAAGTTCAGTTGCATGATGATGACATATGTGAGGGGAGAGGTTGTGGGATGTTACAGGGAAAGCAGAAGTGGGCTGGGCTGCTTGCACTGGTCTGTAACATCCAATGGGAAACCGACACTGGGCACATGTACGAAAAGAGTCATTGCAGTGATGTGGTTAGAGGGTCGGGCTAGGACCTGGGAGACCAGGGTTCAGCTCCCCACTTGGCCACGAAGCTCACTGTGTGACCTCAGGCCAGTCCCTGCCTCACAGATGAACCTACCTCACAGGGCCATTGTGGGGATTAAATGAGGAGGAGAGGAGATCCATGTACGCCACCTCACACTCCTTGGGGGAGAAGTGGGATATAAATGCAATCAGCCAATAGCTGTTAGATACAGAAACTCTGTGTGTTGTGCATTGATTAACCTTAGGTTGCGAGAAGCACTGCCAACCACATGTCGCTCATGCACCCAGTTAGCAGAGCTTCCTTTCAGCATGTACAAGCTGCTCAGCATTTACAAGGAATCATTTTAGGAATGGTAGGAGAGGGGGTAGGTTGTGGTTTGGGAGGTACAGTAATATGCCACTGAAATGCTCCAGTGACAGTAGAGGAAGGCAGATGTTCCTGCTGAGCAAAACAGAGAAGTGATTGAAGAACAACTTTACCTCAGACCAGTATCTTCTCCCTATAAGTCACACATCCTGCAGGAATTATAGCCTATGGCATTGGCTAGCCCAGCCTGTCACAAGCCAAACTTCTCTTAACCCCTTCTACCGGCTCTTAAAATGTGCATTACAGAATATAGATGCTATATTCACATTGGCTGTTTACCTCCTTGCTTTCTGTTAGGACCACTGCACTGTGGAAGAGTTCACTCTTTGCCAGCAGTCAGTGTTGTTATTGCTAGAAGATTCGGGGGGGGGGGACGACCTCCCATTGCCATTCCCCTGAGGGTGCTTGACAAAGGATGTGATGTTTGTCCTAGAAAAGCATTATTGCTCTTGACCTGCAGACGGAAATAGCTCGTGGGACGACCCTTTGCAAAGGCAATTTGAAGCATAGGTCCATATGGAACAATCATCACCAAGACCCAGTGTGCAGTTGTAAAGTGGGTAGTATATTAGATTTGGGCTAGGGAATCCTGGGTTCAAGGCCCCCATACAACTCTTAAGTTCCCTCGGTGGCCTTAAGTTGCTAGTCCTCAACTTCATGGCATTACCGTGAGAAGAAACTGGAAATGTATGTATCTATGTAAAATGGGACAGTCCCAAGTTTAAGCCCAATGGGAACATAGGCAGTACTGGACCGGTGGTCTGACTTACTTAATAGGCAGCTTGCTATGTTTGTAATCCAGCATAATTGCCCTGAAGTAGCCATGTGGACAGCACAAAGATAGAACCAATTAACTGCTAGATTTCACCTAGGAATGCTATTTGACAAGCTAGGTGCAAGTGTGTTCAGAGAATATGAAGATTGTGAGGATTCATTGGCTAGCAGAAGGAGCCCTCTTTGGGTGACCTGAGATGCAGAGTAATTGACCAATTAACCAGATGAAGCACCACACTTAATCAACGAAGAGCACTTTAATTGGTTAATAGCCCTGAGTTACAATACCGTTATTTTTCAGGGAGACACGCTTCAACATTATCACTTCAAATTATAAAAGGTCCCCCAGAAAGCATGCCTCATACCTCCCCCCTCACCCTGGAGTTTGGGTTCTGTAGCACACAGGATTTCTTCCAGTATATGTGCAAAGAGATAAATCCCTATTAGCAATCACAAAGGCGCTTTTGCTAAATCTCATAAATGGATAGCTGCTAGCAAACCTTGCTATGTTATCTTCAGAATGAAAAGCTCAGTAACAGCAAGCCAAAAAAACTCAGCAATCGTCCCAAGGTACAGCATGTCTGTGAGCCGGTCCCTTTTGCCTGCAGGCTGTAACAGTGCAGTCCTATGCATACTTCCTTGGGGAAATAAGACTCAATGGGATTGACTTTGGAATAAGCATGCATAGGATTGCACTGTTATTTAAATGCATCTGCAAGTGTAACTTACATCGAGGGCTGGGAAGATCAGTAACCTTTTCACTTACCAAAGAACGTGACCGCAAATCCTTCCAGCACACATGCCCAGTGGCCCATGAAAAAATAACCCTTCAGATTAGTCAAAAAGCTGATTGTGCCCCCAATCAATGAGACCAGGAAATCGGCCACAGAGAGGTTCACGATGACATAGTTTAGAGGTTGCCTCAACTGTTTGAATTTCAGAGTCACCAGGATGACAGTAAAATTCTCGAAGAGGGACAGGGAAGTCACCAAGAACATCAGAGCAGAGAGAAGGTGGAAGTTCCAGGGTTCGATGAAGTCCAGGGGTTGCAAGAATGGATCCAAAGGCGAGGAACTTGCTGGGGGATCTAGCAGCAAGGATCCATTTTCAGGTTCTCCCGTCAGACCATCCATTTTTGTCTTTCAGCATAGAAGAACAAGGCGTGCCAGGGAATATCAGCACACCTAATCAATCACGGTCATCTTCCTAAAATGGAACTTCTTCTTTAAAGTAGAAGGTTTGGTTTCTTTAAAAACAAAGGAACAATACTCTTGCAGTCTTGCAAACTAAAGTTCTGAATGGAAAGGAGTTTGGTGCTTGTGGTGGGATCATGCCCAAGCAAAGGTGTCTCTGGCAAGCCATCTGGTCTCCTCCTTTTTCTCTCTTTGCAGCTGCCACCGTCTCCCTGCCAGCAAGATTAAAGGAGCAAAGGGCTTCCTTCTTGTGATTCTTCAGTGAGGCAGCCAACAGCAGTGCAGGGATGGCCCTGGCTGCAGCTGCTCTAGCAGGGGAGAGATGAGGAGGCTCAGGCAGGCATGCCTTGCCTGCTCTCGAGAATTAGAGAGAAGGAGCCTTCTCTTCATTAGCCAGGAAGGGGGGAAAACGCCTTCCTCGTGTTCTCTCACAGCTGTAATTGGAACAGAGTGGAGGTTTCTTTCTGCCAGATCTGCTGGAAAAGAGGGTGACCAGACAGCATCACAAAGGCAATTGGATTGATACCTGGGCAGGTAGATAATGAGGCGCAATGAACCTCTTTGGCACCATTAATGCAGCGACACTGAATGCCTACAACTAAATTGTGGCAATTACTGGCAAAATTTGATTTTTAAAGTATATCATTGCATAGAGGTGGCGGTGACATTACTTTTTGTAATGTCTGTTGCCTTTTCTTCCAGTAGTGCATTCAAACAATTTGTTTTAATAAAATGATTTCTGATTTCTAGAGGGAACAAATATGCTCCTCGCACCTTTCCATGATCATAAGACCCCCACTCCTTTTTTATAGACTCAAAGAGCATCAAAGCATTGTAAGGTTGGAAGGGACCTGAGGGTCAGCTGGTCCACCCCCTGCATTGCTCGAATCTCAGTAGGGTGAAGGCTCCTGCCTAATATCAACAGCCATACGATTGCTGCATTGTATGTAGTGTCTGCAAGCTTCTCTGGTTAGCAAATTGGCTCCAAAAGGCTGGTGATCCCTATAGTCAGAACTGATGGGAACTGAAAGCTCAGAGCACTGTCCTACACAGAGGTGTAACCAGATTCCTTTTAGAGATGAGTAACTGCTGCATTTGAAATGATTGGCTTGCAAGCAATGTAGATGGTAAAGTTATCTGCTTGTAGTGGAGCTTGACTGGAAACAGCACAGCCCAGAAGAGGCAGAGAGAGGCAGCACTGAGGACCACCCACCATCTAAATTTTGCACCAGAGGCCTTTTGTATCCCAATCCATCTTCAGCTGGGGCCTTCTCTGTCTAGACTTTAAACTAGCCTCCCTGCGGCCATATGCCAGGCCCCCTCTTGGCCACTTTTAATTAGTCAATGGATAGATCAATTTTATTCAAGCTCAGTTGTCCTAGCACTTTTAAACAACCTCACTGAAAACAGTTTCTGAAAGCGAGGTACAGTATTGCTCTTTGGACAGGTAGCAGAAGAATCTACCTCTGAAACAACATGCCTCTTTCCCCAGCCATTTCAGACAATTTGGTCACAATTTATAGATCCCAGCAAATTCCAGAATAGTTCAGATCCTGTATGTTCATTTTGGCCCAGACAGTCTATATCTTGTTGCCTGGTTGCGATCCTGGTGTAGTTTTCATGCCATAAAGAGAACACTTTTCAGTGTTTGGTCTGCAGGTTCTTCGAAAGGTTAACCTTTTCTGCAATCAACAGTGTTTCTATGCAAATATTTTTTAAATTTAGGGCAGTTCCAACACACACATTTAAAGCACATGGTTTCCCCCAAACAACCCTGGGAACTGTAACATGTTAAGGTCTTAATCTCAGGGCCATGGGTCTGAGCCCCACATTGGGGAAAATATTCCTGCATTGCAGGGGGTTGGACTAGATGACCCTCATGGTACCTTCCAGTTCTATAATTCCATGATTCTATGTTCAGAATTGTAGCTCTGTGAGGGGGAAATTACACTTCCGGGGTTCTGCTGGGGAAGCCATGTGCTTTAAATGTGCATTAGATGTGCCTTTAAATGTATGGTGTGGGGATCTGTCTGTAGTCAACAAATCCATTGAGCCTGAGCTCATGGCTAAAGGGCAGCAGACTTAAGTGTGAATATCATCATTTTACCTAACACAGCTGCAGAACAAAACACAACTGGAGAGAACTGTGCTAAATGATATCCAGTGTCAAAATTGTATGTGGCAGTTTGAAAACATGAACTGAATTTACTAGTCCCTGGAGAGAGGTGCTAGAGGAAACAGGATATTAAATCAGCAAGATATGAGTTGCTGTTATTCTTGGATTTACTCCATGAAGCTAAAATTAAATAGATGAGAGTCTATTGGTCTCACAAGGTGATGGCCTCTAATGAGATGGGGTGCAAATTCATTCACAGAAGTGGCTCTGAAGTGTGGCCACAGATCCTGAAAAACCTCATGGGCCAATCAGTGTTACATTATGAAAGCCTTCACTCTGCAGAGAACTTAAGACTCCAGGACGTGGGTGGAGGTGAAACCTGAGGAAAGCATTTGCTCACATTGTCAGTGAGTTTCCTCATTGGTTTTTGTTGTTGTTCAAACAATGGAGGAGGGTTGGGTGAGTAGACCTTTGACAGCAATGCCACTGCAGCTCTGCTACCCTTCATTTTATGATTTCTTCAGCCAACAGGTGATGGTCAGTTTCGTGGTTCAGCTCAGCCCGTCCCCACCCCAACAGACAAATGAGCTCCCATGTTACATCTGTAGGAGAGTAGCAATATCAAAGCAAGAGAACATTGACAACTGCAAGCCTTGCCAAAACAGAAGCAGCATGGTTCTGCAAAGGTAAGTCCTATCAGAGTTATCTGAGAAGTAGAGATGATCCAGCTTGACACAGTTTTCTTGGACTTTCAAAAAGCTTCCAACAAAGTATCTCACCCAAAGACTCTTGAAAAAGCTTAACAGTCATAGAATAGGCATCTAGTTGGTCATACGAGAATATATGCTACATCCTAGGCACTCCCTACTGAGTTGCTTTAGGTTGCCTTTTAAACTTCTGACAATGGTCCTGATATAGTTTTGTTCTAATTCATTGTGAGAAATTAAAATAGCAGCCTTAGTGGTGGCTTTGGAGGGCACAGTTTAAATGTTCCACAATGCCCTGGTGTGGTGTTATGTCAGGGCATTGTGGGAAGTTAAAATGGTGGCTCCTGGAGTCAGCCACCTGCCACTGCCAGGAAAGCCCTAGGGGGCCTACCTGGGCCTCTTCTGAGTGAAGAAAAAGCATGTGTGAATCAGCTTCTGCCAACTGGTTGCTAAATGTGTTAACTGATCCCACTAAGAAGCACTGAAGGGAAGAAGCCATTCAGTCTGTGGTGATAGATCTGCGGCAGCCCATTCACAGTCCTGATGTGATAAAGATGAATGTGTGAAACAATCTTCTATTATTATTATTATTATTATTATTATTATTATTATTATTATTATATTTACCACCTGCCCTTTACCATAAGGTCCCAGGGTGTGCCACAAAATTTAAGTACAACATTAAAAATAGTTTAAAACTTGGGAGACTCCTTTTTATATTGGATTACCTCTAAACTGTCAACAAAAGTGCTTTCGCAGTTTCATAAGCTGCCATTATGAGATGCGAAAGGATGATAGGAGTGTGAGAAACGGTGTTTCATTACATAGGGGAAAGAAATGAAAAATGAAAGAGCAGTAAAGTTAGAAATCAGATCAGGAAATTAGATCAAGAAGAGGAAAACAGCTAATCTTTGTTACAGTGTCTCTCATGTGGAAATCCAGCTTTCACCAATTTTCTGCCTAATCTGGAGAGAGAAATTTACATAAGGACTATGTCTGTCTGTCTGTCTGTCTGTCTGTCTGTCTGTCTGTCTGTCTGTCTGTCTGTTACCATATATTAAGAGAGAAGGAGGGAAGCGTCCAGTTTTCCAACTTTTTCACATTTGAAACCTAGTTTCAGATCTGTTTGCCAGGATTCTGACTAGCCAGTGTTTGATATTTCTTCGGGAGGAGTTAAGCTGGGAGATGGCATTTTGATATCTGCAGATCTGTCTTGGGTGTTTTGAATGGGACCAAACTCATTCCTGGAAAGGGGATGGAGCAGGGCTGTGCGTGTGTGTCTTTGTGTACAAAGATTTAGACTTGCTCTTTGAGACAGAGAGTGAGAGATACAAGTTACCTGAAGCACCCTGGGTACAAACTAACTCTCTGGGTGGGATCTAGTTTGAAGCAGTGGGGATGCTGGTGTGTTGGGAGCACAAATAGGCTGCATTCCAGTTGTGCAAGTTATTGGGCAAATGTGAAGCTTTCACATGATACAGCAATGCTATTGGTAAGGTCTCATGATAACCTACTTTGTTCAACTTAATTATGAATCTAAACTGCTTGGTTCTGGCCATATTGGCTGGCAACTGACCTCGGGTCCCAGTAAAACCCTAAAAAGTGGACAAAGTTGATTGGTTTCCCACACACACACAGGCACACCTCGGCCTAATAACCAATCTCCTTTTGCTGTCACATTCTCATACAATTTTCTTTTTGCCATTTGTTTCTCTGTTCCCTAGGTGCAGCCTCTGAATAGGATCCACTTATTATCAGATAGAAGAAGAAGATCTGCCTTTCGGAGGAAGAAACACATCCCTGACGCAGCCTGAAAAGGCTACACTACATGCAAGAGGCAGAGGCTACAAGAGAGAAGAAGCCAGCAAAATGTCATTGAATTTGCAGACAAGGCGTCTAATTTATTGATGGAAAAATTGGGGGGGGGATATGTTCTAAAGGCTAGACAAGCTGTGAATTTAACGCGTCTTACAGTTACTTTTTGCTGAGAAGCGCGCTGTACATTTTATAGCTATATAAAAGGCAGGAATTCAAGAGCAGAACTTTATTTTAGCATGGTTAGGAATGTCCATGGTTGTCTGCCTGTCCTGCAGCCATTAAAGGTACAGCCTTTGTCAGGAAAAAATAGAACAGCTGTATGTTGATTTAATGTATGTTGATTTAGGGACGCGAGTGGCGCTGTGGGTAAAACCTCAGCGCCTAGGACTTGCCGATCACATGGTCGGCGGTTCGAATCCCCGTGGCGGGGTGCGCTCCTGCTGCTCGGTCCCAGCGCCTGCCAACCTAGCAGTTCGAAAGCACCCCCAGGTGAAAGTAGATAAATAGGGACCGCTTACCAGCGGGAAGGTAAACGGCGTTCCGTGTGCTGCGCTGGCTCGTCAGATGCGGCTTGTCACGCTGGCCACGTGACCCGGAAGTGACTGCTGACAGCGCTGGCCCCCGGCCTCTTGAGTGAGATGGGCGCACAACCCTAGAGTCTGT